CCATAAACAATGCAAGAGGTCGTTTTTTGTAAGCTGGGAGTGGGACTTTTAAAAGATGAATAGAATGGACAGTGAAGAGCTAACGTGTGGATTTGGTAATAGTGCCACAGGACCCTAGCTGACGTGTGAATCTGGTAACACTGAACCCGAGTAAATGCGCGCGCACATCTGAGGTAAATGGACTTGGTAGTTAAATCTTTATGTTTGTCTCTATGAGTGTGTGTGTGTGTCTATCGTGTTGGTTAGGTTAGGTTTGGTTAAGTGAGATATATTCCTAAAAAAGTAGAAGTAGAGTTATAAATATGGAGGCCAGATGGAGTGAATTTTATTATTTTTTTTATGTACACACACACACACACACACACACAGACACACACTCTCTCTCTCTCTCTTGGAAACTCCCTCTCTCACTTTATCTCCCCATGTCCGTTTTCTTTCTCTCTCTATTCTCTTCCTCTCTCTCTCTCACTCTCTTCCTCCTCTCTCTCCCATCACACCTATACACTCGCCTCAATATTACATTTATATCCTGTCCTTTCCTCACCAAGAAACATCATATTTTATTATTTTATTTCCATCTTTATTCCTTATTCCATCCATTTATAAACAAAGAGGGGAATTACCTTACCTGTACTCACCCAAAGGAGTCCCTACCTTACCTGTACTCATCCAAAGTCTTCCCTACCTTACCTGTACTCATCAAAAGTCTTCCCTACCTTACCTGTACTCATCCAAAGTCTTCCCTACCTTACCTGTACTCATCCAAAGGCGTCCCTACCTTACCTGTACTCATCCAAAGTCTTCCCTACCTTACCTGTACTCACCCAAAGGCGTCCCTACCTTACCTGTACTCATCCATAAATCAATACTCGTACTAAAATTACTAAACTACATAACTCTTATTTTAATATCCACACCACAGTTCCATATGTGAGCCAACAAATACACTGGAATATACTCAACCTTGAGGTGTATACTGTCAGTGTATATCTGACGTATACTTGTTGTTGTTGTTTTTTTACTGTCTGTCTGTCTGTCTGTCTGTCTGTCTGTTTGTACGAGGTGATGTGTTGGTACTGTTTAATATTCCTGTGTTAATTTGGTTATGTATTCTTGGACTTGTATCAGTAACTGTATTTGTATCTGTATTTATAGCTGTATTTGTCCTTGTATTTCCATCTATCCATCTGTACCTGTATCTGTCCTTGTAACTACACCTATACTCATTAATGTACTGTACCTGTAATTGTAACCTCACCTGTAACTATCAATTACTGTAAACTCTCTGTAGACGCATGTCCGCCTCTCCACCAACACCTGTCCTATCACTAATTGGCTCCGTGACCTTGACCTTTGCGTGCATGACCTTGAAGGCACAGAGCGGCGAGGCAGCATCGTGACAATACCTGACTTGGCTATGACGAGAAGACAGACAGACAGCGAGACAGACAGACAGACAGACAGACAGACAGACAGACAGACAGACAGGCAGACAGACACACAGACAAATTAATAAGGAAGATAAACAGGTTGTAAACAAATGAATAACGGAGGAATAGATAAACAAACAGACACAAAAGCAGACAACTGACTACGGAGGGGGAATAAAAAAAAATCTGACCTCTGGCGGAAAGTGACAAAAGCAAGTGACAAAAGCATCAGTTGTTTACTCAATAGTAATAAAAAAAATCCGATAAATAATCAAATTCCGCTGTAAAAAACACTCTTAAAAACATCGTTCTTTCATAACTCGAGGTGAAAAAAAGAAGTTTTGTTTTAAATGTTTTGTTTTTACTCAGAGTGGAAAAACCGACAAAAAAATTAGGCATATTATTCACCTTTAAAAATGATTCTTAATAACTGAATCATACTATTTGTGGAGTGAAGAGGGAGAGTGAAGGGGTAGAGTGAAGGGAAAGTGAAGGGAGAGTGAAGGGGGAGAGTGAAGGGGTAGAGTGAAGGGAGAGTGAAAGGAGAGTGAAGAGGGAGAGCGAAGGGGTAGTGTGAAGGGGTAGTGAAGTGAGGAAAAAGAAGGGGGAAGAGTGAAGGGAGAACAAGAAGGGGGCAGAGTGAAGAGACAGAATGAAGGGAAAACGACTGAAGGGGACAAAGATAAAGAGACAGAATGAAGGGACAGAATGAAGGGAAAAAGAGTGAAGGGTAGAAAATGAAGGGACAGGGGTGAAGGGAAAGGAAGGGGTGGGGGGAGGGGGGCAACCATCGTGTGACCCGGTACCAGCTCTCTCTCTCTCTCTCTCTTTTACCAAAACACCTCTTTGAAGAATTTGTGCTCCACTAGATACAATTTACCCTTTGAGCCTTTAGAGGAGAGACCCTCCTCACCTGAGAGTTTTACACCGACACATGAATCAACCTTCATTTTTTTTTTTGTGTGTTATTTTCATTTGCTTGATACGACGAACCAAACCTTTTCCTAGATTTATTTCTTTGTTTGGGGGGATTATTGGGGGGAGGTTTATTTTTTTCTTAGTTTGAGAATAATCAGTAAGTCATTTAGTTTATGATAGAGGTGTTAACGTGAGTGTTTTTGTGGTTCACTTAATAACGACAAAACGTATGGAAGTAACGACAGGAGAAGGTTATCTATGGTCTCTCTCTCTCTCTCTCTCTCTCTCTCTCTTTCTCGCCTTCTGTCCAAAGACCCCAGGTCGTTGGTTCGATCCCAGGACACTCCTAGTCCACTCAGCTGTAAACGGGTAACCTAACCTTATAATAAAGGCAGTGAAGACCATCTAACTCAATACTGACCATCCACGCTGTGTACCGAAGGCTTAGTCTATAGGACCCACTTTCACTTTCATTTCCTCATCCATAAACAATAATGAAAAAACAAAAACAAAGTTAAATTTTACATATTAGACGTATTCTTGTTTTCTCTCGTAACTCGTTTCTCTCACCCCAACACCTGCTTCTCTCACCCCAACACCTGTTTCTCTCACCCCAACACCTGCTTCTCTCACCCCAACACCTGCTTCTCTCACCCCAACACCTGCTTCTCTCACCCCAACACCTGCTTCTCTCACTTATTCCTCCCCTAACATCTAAAGATCTCCACACATTTTATTCACTTTGTTGTATAGTTTGAGTATTTATGACTTTCCTTCTTCTCTTCTGAGCGCATGTTCCCTATTGTCACTCGTCTCTTACGCACATACACACACGTTTCTGTCAATCTTTCGCCTATTTGCATTTATATCTGGTACTCTTATGTTTATGCAAAAAGAGAGAGAGAGAGAGAGAGAGAGAGAGAGAGAGAGAGAGAGCCAGCACACGTAAACACAAAACAGTTTCCACGTATCAAGCTTCACTTAACCCAATTCTCTCTTGATCTGATCTTATATTCCATCACGTTAAGGTTACCAGTATTCTTACAGCCTTTAACAAAACTTCAAAGACAATAATTAAAGAGAGTGATAAAAGACAATAATAAAAACACTGGCTTCAAACTATCTCAATGGAAGACAGCAGTTAAAAAAAAAAATCCTGCATCTACGAGTGTCGGTGCCATTCTCGTGAGTGTGTAAAGATACTTGTTTTGCCAGAGCCAAGAACACCAACGTAATAACATGCAGATATAATTGAAGAAGAAGAATATGATAGTTTCAACATAATACAAAATTAAAACAATGACAAAACAAAACAAAAACAATGAGAAAACAACAAGAAAAACAATAACAAAACAACAAAAACAATCACAAAACAACAAAAACAATGACAAAACAACAACAAAAACAATCACAAAACAAGAAAAACAATCACAAAACAAAAATAATAACAAGAGATCCTCCAGTAATGCATTGAAAAAAAAATAACTGGTCGAAGGTTCAGTCAACTATCAATCAGTTAGAAAGTTACACAAGAACGATCAAGATATAGATCCCAACCTGAATTACCTGCTGTATTGATTAACTCACACTGAATAATTAACTACAGTAAAATAGAAAAGAATTAAATAAGGGGAATAATATAGCGATCGTATCCAAGTTATCGTCATCATCTCACGAAGTTATCGTATTTCTTCTAAGGAAACATAACAAAATTATTAAATTAATAGCTTATCTTAGTAACAATTTCATAAATATCTAACACAAGAATAGTATATTTTGTTTAATAGACATAGTAAAATATAAGGTTATTATTCCTACGTCTGGCAAGGATGTAAGAATTATTGCTGGGTGTTGTCTTACGGTAGCTACTGGTACACAAATGAAACATTTGGGTGACTCTTGCCTTAGTAACTCATCCTGTACTGGACTGTGGTAATGGTAGACTCACTCGGTAATCATTGTTTCAGCTTTATTGATGTGGAATAACCTAACCTAACCTAACCTAACCTAACTTTCTGAATTTACCTCCACTACTACTACTACTATTGCCACCACTACTTCATTTAATACTCCTACTATTACTACTACAACTAAATCATTATAAAATATGTTAATACACTATTAAGACATCGTAGAGTAACACCTGCAGGCAGTCATATCACTCCTGGTGTCGTCTGGTGAAATTAACAAGCGTAAAAAAAATACGAGTTGAAATATACATGATTGAGTTTACTTTATCAAACCCTAGAGAGAGAAAGAAGATAACAGCCTCATCACTTTTAAATGATTCCTATTACTTTATTATTTTGGAAGGAATCACGTCATCAATAAAGAGGTGTCAGGGGTGCCAACATACTGTATATGTAAATAGACTTTCTTTTGTTTGTCAGTTTCTGTCGAATGATTTTGACAACCCTACCGAGACAACAGGAGTCGCAGTGTTCATTTTGGAATTCATCGAATCCCACCTTATAGATTAGATAAGATAGATAATTTAGACAGATCGGTAGATAGATTTATATGCATTGCTCCCCCCCCCCTCCTCTCTCTCTCTCTCTCTCTTCTCTCTCTTTTTTTTTTTTTTTTGTATTATCTTGCTAACGCTCTTTACGCCTGGTGCTTGACGGGTGGGTGAAAAAGTTGGTGGGAGACTCACACGCGGCTGGGTATATATTCACCGCCTAGATATTCCAAAAGCTCTTCTAATGAGCCTCGCTGGTTTGGGTCATTGTTGAAGGAGCGGATCAACCATCGCCGTAGTTCTCGGTCGAGGTAGCTTAAGTGTTTGGAGAGAAGGCATTGCACGAGGCGACCGACGCTGTAGACGTCGGCCTGGGGGGTGATTCGATGGCTCTTCAAGACCTCAGGAGCCGTTTGGAAGGGAGCCTCTGTGCCTGGGGCGAATGGAATGGAATCCCCGACCTTGACAGCTAGACCAAAGTCAATGAGAGTGGCTTGGATCCCGTTGTCGGTCTTCTGGACGCAGATGTTATGAATTTTCACATCGTTGTGCACCCATCCCCGAGCGTTCACCTCCAAAAGTGTGCAGGCGACCTGTTGTATGATCTGGAGGCGCTCGGAGAATGTGCAGCTTTGGGTCTCCAAGTAATTGTCCAGGGAATCCCCGGCGTACTCGGTGATCAGGACGAGTTTCCAAGGACAAACACCGATCATTTTCTGAAGACCCGGGACACCGTGTAGGGCGGACAAGGCACGGATCTCCCGCTGCATACTCTGGATGGATGAAGCTACGTCAGGGATGAGCTTGACGACCCAGTAGTTTCTTGAAATCTGGACTGTGTAACAAGTGCCATAAGTCCCGCTCCCCAAGTGGCTGAGGCATGTTGGGTCAACTATCATTTCATAAAGCTTGCTGCCAAAAACGTTGACGCCGTACTGCTCACAGTCAACAGCTAAATCTTGGATTGACTTATCTGAAGTTTTGCGGAAGTCCATCTTGTATATAAATATATTATGAAGTGTGCGATCACTGGGGACCTCAATTCGAAATTCGACTAGTAAACAAGAAATATAATGTAATGAGGTTGGAATTTTGTTATTCAAGTTGTTATAGTGCAGTAACGGTGTAGTTGTCATGATGTAGTAGTGATGATGGATGGTGTTATATGTATTGATGATGGATGGTGTTATATGTAGTGATGATGGATGGTGTTATATGTAATGATGATGGATGGTGTTATATGTAGTGATGATGGATGATGTCATATGTAGTGATGATGGGTGGTGTTATATGTAGTGATGATGGATGGTGTTATATGTAGTGATGAAGGATGGTGTTATATGTAGTGATGATGGATGATGTTATATGTAGTGAAGGTGGATGTTGTTATATGTAGTGATGATGGATGGTGTTATATGTAGTGATGATGGATGGTGTTATATGTAGTGATGATGGATGGTGTTATATGTAGTGATGATGGATGGTGTTATATGTAGTGATGATGGAAGGTGTTATATGTAGTGATGATGGATGATGTTATATGTAGTGAAGGTGGATGTTGTTATATGTAGTGATGATGGATGTTGTTATATGTAGTGATGATGGATGATGTTATATGTAGTGATGATGGATGGTGTTATATGTAGTGATGATGGATGGTGTTATATGTAGTGATGATAATCATGATGATGATAATGATAGTGATGATGACGATGATGATGATGATGATGATGATGATATATGATGATGATGATGATATATGATGATGATGATATATGATGATGATGATGAGGATGATGATGATGATGATGATGATATATAATGATGATAGTGATGATGATATATGATGATGATGATGATGATAATGGTAGTGATGATGATGATAGTGATGATGATGAAGATGATGATGATGATGATGATGATAATGGTAGTGATGATGATAGTGATGATGATGATGATGATGATGATGATGATGATGATGATGATGATGATGATGATGATGATGATGATGATGATGATGATGATGATGATGATGATGATGATGATGATGATGATGATGATGATGATGATGATGATGATGATGATGATGATGATGTGATGATGATGATGATGATGATGATGATGATGATGATGATGATGATGATGATGATGATGATGATGATGATGATGATGATGATGATGATGATGATGATGATGGTGAATGATGATGATGATGATGATGATGATGATGATGATATATGATGATGATAGTGATGATGATGATGATGATGATGATGATGGTTGATGATGATGGTGATGACGATGATGGTTGATGATGACAGTGATGATATATGATGATGATGATGGTGATGATGATGATGATGATGGTGATGATGATGATATATGATGATGATGATGGTTGATGATGATGGTGATGATGATGATGGTTGATGATGATGGTGATGATGATGGTGATATATGATGATGATGATGCAGAGTGTCAACAACACTCCCATTGATTGACGTTACCTCGGGATGACAGCTGCAGCTACACCCAGCAGTCATTTAATCTCCAAGAATGAATACTGACTAAAGCGTTCTTAATGTATTACTTTTCTTTAGTTCTTTGTACCCTTTCTACGGTCTAGGTAGCTTTAGTCATGAAGATCTCTCAACAACCTGGTTTAACCATTTGGCGATAGTTTAACCCTTTGATGACGATAATTTAACCCCTTGACGATGATAGTTTAACCCTTTAGCGATGATGGTTTAACCCTTTGGCGATGATCGTTTAACCATTTGGCGATAGTTTAACCCTTTGATGACGATAATTTAACCCCTTGACGATGATAGTTTAACCCTTTAGCGATGATGGTTTAACCCTTTGGCGATGATCGTTTAACCCTTTGATGACGATAATTTAACCCTTTCATGACGATAATTTAACCCCTTGACGATGATAGTTTAACCCTTTAGCGATGATGGTTTAACCGTTTGGCGATGATCGTTTAACCCTTTGATGGCGATAATTTAACCCTTTGATGACGATAATTTAACCCCTTGACGATGATAGTTTAACCCTTTAGCGATGATGGTTTAACCCTTTGGCGATAGTTTAACCCTTTGATGACGGCAATTTAACCCTTTGATGACTATAATTTAACCCCTTGACGATGATCGTTTAACCCTTTGATGACGAAACCCTTTATCGACGGCGATTTAACTCTGTCACATCTGCCACACACACACAATCTATCTCACACCTGTCCACTTAACTCAACTCTGTTCCATCTCTTACAGCATCATTTGGATCGATCTTCACTACTCTTGCAAATATCATTCCTGAACCAATAATGTTTGCATAATGTCTCACTGAAGCACAGGATCCCCTCTATGGTGGATGAATCAGTCTGGTGTTAGGTTAATAAGATGCTTAAAATATCATCTCAGTAGTTAAGATCTCGAATTAATAAAGAAAAAAAAACCCACCCAGATTGTATCGCCTCTGTTCAGCTTCTCTTTGGTAATATCAAATAAATATCGTGAGTGTTGATGCATAATTAAAGAGAAGTATTCAGTAATATTTATTCCCCTTGACTGATGCCATCCTTTTCTGTTTATAAATAAAGTAAAACTCAATTTGCATCCAGGGTATTTAAATAATCCTTCACTTTATTGACTATTCATACCTTACTTACTGCAGGGATAGTAAAATATGTAGGTAGCCCAAACAAGTCAGATTTTTTCCCCTTATTTCCGTGTTAAGTTTTGTATTTTTTCTCATCCAAGTGCCAGTACATGTGATAGTGGTGAGCATGAGTTGTACGATGTCCTTCACTGACGCTGTAAGTCACTGTTTTAAGATGGTGAGTGAGGTGAGTTGATGGTGAGTGAGGTGAGTTGATGGTGAGTGAGGTGAGTTGATGGTGAGTGAGGTGAGTTGATGGTGAGTGAGGTGAGTTGATGGTGAGTGAGGTGAGTTGATGGTGAGTGAGGTGAGTTGATGGTGAGTTGATGGTGAGTGAGGTGAGTTGATGGTGAGTGAGGTGAGTTGATGGTGAGTGAGGTGAGTTGATGGTGAGTGAGGTGAGTTGATGGTGAGTGAGGTGAGTTGATGGTGAGTGAAGTGAATTGATGGTGAGTGAGGTGAGTTGATAATAGACTTTATTGATATGTGTAGATGAAATAATTAGCTGATGTGTCTATGTATATGAATTGTTGAGTTGTAGGGAGTGTTGTAGTGTTGCTGTAGGGAGTGTAGTGTTGTAGGAGAGTTGTAGTGTTGCTGTAGGGAGTGTTGTTGTGTTGTAGGAGAGTTGTAGTGTTGCTGTAGGGAGTGTTGTTGTGTTGTAGGAGAGTTGTAGTGTAGCTGTAGGGAGTGTTGTTGTGTTGTAAGGAGTGTTGTAGTGTTGCAGTGAATATGTATGTAGTGTTGTGGTGCTGAAGGGAGTGTTGTAGTGTTGTAGAGTGTGTGTTGTGTTGTAGAAAGCATATAGTGTTGTAGCGACTGTGTATCTAGTGTTGTAGAGATAGCATATAGAATAATCTTCATATATACCCTATTTAAACCATCGAAAATTACATTCACACACTTTTTCCTGACCTCAGCTTAAATGATAATCGTCTCACACGCTGTACAAACGAGTCAATCAGGAAACTTTTCATGAGGGTGAACGAGAAATGGTTCTATATACACAAGCACTTAATAATTGTTGTATATGTCTGCCAAAACAACTCCATTAAACATAACTATTGATGTATATGGCGTCTTTTTTGGCCAGTTTTTACGGATTTGTCGTCTTTTGGGGACAGTTTCCACGTATAAGAGGTGACCTGAAGTTACAATTACAAGTAAATCAACAAGCATTAGATATTCATATTGGTGAGATTAATTCCACAGATTTCTTGTGTTTACCTCCACCCAGGGAGAACTAAAACAAGTGTTGTATGATCGAATTAACAAAAAATACCTAAACTATGAGGTCCTGGCGGGTAATTTATGAGGGTTATTTTAGAGTATTGTGAGTGAGTTAGTTGTAAATTAAGACAATACCCACCCAAAAAAAAAAAAATCTTATAATATTCTTCTTTCTTTCTCTCTCTCTCTCTCTCTCTCTCTCTCTCTCATTACCACAGGTATCGAGTGTCTTATGATATGCAGCGGTCTCCTTCCTAACACCACGTATTAACTTAAGTCTGATAAATGATGAAGCAGGAGAGAAGCGAGATGGATGATGGAGAGAGAGAGAGAGAGAGAGAGAGAGAGAGAGAGAGAGAGAGAGAGAGAGAGAGAGAGAGAGAGAGAGAGAGAGAGAGAGAGAGAGAGAGAGAGAGAGAGAGAGAGAGAGAGAGAGAGAGAGAGAGAGAGAGAGAGAGAGAGAGAAAGAGAGAGAGAGAGCTAAAAAGGAATATAATAAAAGTAAAAAAAAGCGAGAGAAATGAAAGTGAGAATGAATACACCGAACAACTAAAGCGAAAGAGGGGAATGAGGAGGAGGAAGAAGAGAAAGAGGGAATATAGGAAGAGAGAAAAGGAATGTTTAGATAGAGACAAAAGACAAGGGGAGAGTGTAAGGGAGGGGAAGGGAGGTAAATAAAAGAGATGGAAAGCGAGGAAAGATGTTAGGAGAGAAGGAGGGGGGGGGAAGAGACATGGGAAGGAAGAAGGAATTGGGAGAGGAGGAGAAGGAAGTAGAGGAAGTGAGAGGGATGAAGGAGAGGAATGGGGTAAATAAGGAAAAAGAAAAGAAGGAATAAATAAGGAAGGAGAGAAAGACGAGGGAAAGGGAGGAAAGGAAGAGTAAAGGAAAGAGGAGCATAAAGGGGTATGGGTCCAATAGGAGGATAAGTAAGAGGAAACAAGAGGAAAAGGAAGAGGGAGAGGAAGAGGAGAAGACGGAGAAGGAAGAGGGAGAGGAAAAGAAGAAGAAGAAGAAGAAGAAGAAGAAGAAGAAGAAGAAGAAGAAGAAGAAGGAAGAGGAACAAGAGAAGAAGTAGTTATCGTCCATTAAAGTAGC